TCCCCTCAGTTACCAGGGGGCATCAGGCCTTCACCCCAGGGGAAACCTTTCAGGCAGGAACCCAGCTCTGCAGCAGCCAGGAAGAAATGGAGATGGGGACCAGTGCTGCCTCTGCTGGGCAGGGCCAGGGTGGAAGGCAGATGGTGCGTACCTGCTGCCTGCATACAACGGTGCTGCTTAGCAAATAGTAAGCATTGCATCGAAAGTTAAACTATTGAGTACATAGTGACACAAATTAACGCGCAGAAAGTAAACCTTCAAGGGGCAGTGAGAAAAAAATACGATGCACGCTTACATTTTAAAAATGCATCACAGTGAAAGACATACTCCCATTAATGCCCCTCAAAATATATCCCCTCACTTTGAGCACATTCATCTCGTCCTTTTTTTGTTTGTTCAATTTTTATTAGCCAGTGTTTGCAATGCATAATGATGACATTCCTCGTAGGGAGTGTGCACATGTACAAAACACATCCTAATTCTTTTTCATCCCTTCCCTTTCCCCCCTCCTCCATGTCTTGGTTGCCTTCCCTTTAGAAAAGATCTCCTTGTTTCCTATGAGTATCTTTTATTTTGTTTTTTATTTATAATTTGCATTTCTCATATGAGGGAAACCATGTGATATTTAAGCTTGTGTGTCTGATTTGTTTCATTCAACATTACATTCTCAAGGTGCACCCCTTTACCCACAAATGACTCAAGTTTATCCTTCTTTATGGCAGAGTAGTACTCTATTGTGTATAAATGCCACATTTTCTTCATCCATTCATCTGATGATGGACATATAGGCTGCTTCTAAGATTTAGCTATTGTGAGTTGTGCTGCTATGAACACAGATGTGCATGGATCACTGTAATGAGATGTCTTTAGCTCTTTCAATCCCAGCATTCTGGCCGCTTTCTGCAGCTCTGGAGTTCTCTTTCCTGAGTGTCTTTAGTTGTGCTGTCCCGGCTGCCTTGATGTCCTGAACAGATTCAAAATGTTTTCTTTTCATGGTCATTTTGATTTAGGGGAAGAACCAGAAGTCACACAGTGCCAGATCCAGTACATAACATGGTTGAGGACACAGTGTCATGTTTTTACAAGCCTTTCTGCAATGGGTTTCAACAGCAGCATTTATCATATCTTTGACTATACTTTGTAAAGACACTCATGAAAAAGGACTTCCAGAATTGCTTCAGAAAGTGGCAAGAACCATGGGGTGTGTTCAAAGTGAAGTGTACATACTGAAGGGGATTCATAATTTATTACAAGGTGTCTTTTATTGAAATAAACTTTAAAAAAATTTAAGCATTCACTGCCATGGCTTATATTTAGATGTTTGCTCAAAGCCTCATGTGCTCATAGGTGGGGCTTTTTGGAGCTGGTTGGGTCTTGGGCATGTAATACTGGAATTAAGGGTGTGTGGTACTAAATTAGTTCATTGATTGGAATTAGCATAGTTCTGGGTGGCACCATCCAAAAGTCTGGTAGCCTGGATGAGATAAAAGGGAACGGTGGCACTGCTTTGCTGCTGCTGCTTACTGTTTGTTGTCTTCTGCTTGCCCTGCCATGAACCATTTCTCCTCTGCCATGCCACCCTGTCCGGGCACCAGCCAACTACAAACTGAAACCTCTACCAACTATGTGGTGAAATAAACCTTTCCTCCTTTAGCTTTGGGTGCTGAGTATTTTGTCTCAGCAATAAGAAAGGTAGTGAAGATATTTATCATGTATTTTGACCACACCTCCTATATTTTGAGCCTTTCCTTAACCCTTTTGAGTTTTGTCAGTTTTGTACACTTGCAGTTTATCTCAGAGTAGCAACCAGTGACAGAGAAAAGTAATATTCCAAAATGACAGGAACAAAGAAAGTTAGCAACTGGATTCAGTTCAAGGTGGTGAAAGGACATTCTTCTGAAATGGATCAACAGGGGACAACAGAAGCCATCTGGAGATCAGATACATGACCTTCACAGGTACCCAGAGCAGGGCTGGCAGGCAGCAGTCTCGGGGCCACTTAAGGGTAGTAGCTCCCCAAGGACCCTCAGAGTCTCAGATCCTGTGGGTGTGGCCAAGGCCCCAGGATCTATGAAGTGCTGGTCCAGGAGGAGCTCAGCAGGCCTCTCCTGCCTCTCCCCAGTGCCCAGAGGCCCCACCTGTTCCCAGCAGGAAAGTCTGAGCTCCCAGTGTAAATGCTGGCACCCAGGAGGCACGCAGGGGTGACCCGAGCTGAGCCTACATAAAGTTCTAATGTCCTTCACAAACACAGTCCTGTATAAAGCAAGTGGTGACCTTCACTGTCATAAAACCGAATGATACCGTCTCTGGCTCTTCAGTTGTGATTCTTTGTCTGTGTTGTCTGAACTTACTTAATTGTAACACAAACAAAACACATTGACTGCTAAACAGTGACATCTCAGCTCACAAAAAAATTCCAGGATATTAAGATGGAAATGTCACCATATAAAGTGGGCATTCCTAAAATTCTGTCTAAAGGGGCAGGGGCAAGAAAGGCAGCTTCTGCGTGATCTGAAATCATGCAGGCTGAGCTGCTATGAGAGTCAGGAGAACAGAAGGATGCAGTGAATGAAACTGTTTACAGCTTAGGCTCCACTGGACTGTGGAAACTGAGGTGGATTTCTAGAGAGTGCCTCATGGAAATCTTTGCTGCATCTTCAGTCCTAATGAGACAGTTAGATTAGATTCATTCATGAGCTCTATTCACACTACAAATCCTTCTGGACATGGTTGTCCACAAGATTATGTCGGCAATGTTGTTCGACAAGAAATGAATGGGTTCACTGTGGATAAACGGCTTAGTTAGCTGCTTTCTACGCTAATTAATTTGGTGAAAGTGCTGGACTTGCTACCCATGATCACTGCCACTGTCAGTAGCCACCTGGACACTGATTTTGATCAAAGCATTTTGCTTTAGGCTCATTTAAAACCACCAGAAAAGAACTGCACCACAAAGGCAGAGGACTTGCTGCTGTTTTTTCTTCTCTGAACTGTCAAATGACATTAATTTCATGTGTATCCTTCATAACCCCCATCCCACTTAATCTGGAGCTATGGGCCTCGGCACTGAAACTAGCAGCCCAAACAGGAATGTAGCTAAGCCTTCCAAGTGGAAGGTGGAAGTCCAGCTAAAGAGCCTCCTCTGCTGTGTACAGTGCCCCCTGATGGCCACTACAGAACCCAGTTTCAAGTAAAATTCCTGTTTGCAGGTCTTTTACAATTAACTTTGCTAAGCCACATCCTATCTTAAAAACAAAACAAAACAACTAAGAAACATGACAAAGCACATTGTGTGGCTAATGTCCGGGCTGATTTGTGCCTGGAATGCAAACCCAGGGCCTCAGAGAGGTGGCTGGGTCCTGAGGGCCAGGGCCCCAGACGAGCAGCTCCCCAGAAGTCCAGCACTGCGATCCTTCTGTTCAGAAGCCAGGCAATCCCTGCGGGGCTCACTCCACTGCACAGTACACCCCATCCTGGGGAGGTGTCCAGCACCTACATGGCTCCTCACACCCCCACACTCACCTACAGCCCCACCAACTGCACTAGTAAGTGTTCATTCGCTTTTGTTTCAAATGATAAAGTCCTCCAACAGTGTTCTGCTTGGGTGCCAGAAATTACCAACCTCAATCTCTTTTCCTCCAGGTCACACGGCACCTGTTCACAGTGCAGCCAAGGCTGACAAGTAAACCATGGCACTGGTGGCGAGAAGTGTGGCAACCCAAGCTAGCACTGGGGTGACTGAACAGCAGAAATATCCAATGCTGAAGCTACCGTGTCTGAGCCACCTGGCAAACCCACTGCTAGGCAATGCCACCTCCTGTCAAGGCCCTTTCCTCCACCCACTCCCACAGCAACACACATCACAGGAGGGCTGGGCAGTCGCTTTCTCCAGGTGGACACACACAGCTTTAAGTAGCCTCTGTATGCCGGCACCTCCCTGACTGGTCTGACGGCTTCTACAGGGTTGTGCCCAGGAGAACTCCCGACCACTCAGGCCTGCGTGTCTCCCAGTTCCCACAGTGAAGGGCAGGCTCAGCACCACCGAACCTGTGCACCTACCTGTCTGTGGCCCAGGAGCCTGGGGCTCATCCTTGCTTCCTTCCCATCCCACCCTACTTAGACACGATTCCACGCCCAGGCAGACCACAAAGACTCTCAGAGCTCTGTATTGCCACTCCCTCCCCCGTGCCTTCCACCTGCCCTCCTGCAGGTCCCAGCAGGGCTCTCTGGCTCAGCCCTTACTCTCCACCTGGCAACAGCCCTGGTGAAACACAATGGCAGGACGCCTCTCCTGCAGGCCCACGGCTTCCAGCCTCGAAGGATCTCACGGACACAGCTCCTTCCTGGCACTTAGACCACCTTCCCCTGCCCACCAGCAAGGCTCCTCCTGAGATTTAGGCAGGCCCCCTTCAGGTCCTCGCAGCACTGTGTCCTCAGGAGGCCCTCCGTGACCAGTGCAGGGGGAGGAGGCACCCTGCTCCTCTGCCTGCAACATTCCCTGCTTTCCACATGGCCCTGGCCCCTGACTGCTGTGTGTGGGGTGATGACTGGGGATGTTTCCTGTCCACAGTCAGAGCTCTCTGAGATTCTGCTGCCCCTGGCCTGCCTTGCTGAGCAGCCTGCCAGCCAGGTGACCGAGGGAAGCACACTGCGTGGTGGGGAGATGGGCACCAACAGAGGGCGGCTCGGTTACCCATGAATTTCAGTTACGTGTGAAACAGTTATGTAAGAAAACAGCCAAATGGCTGTCGTGTCATTTTTACAGGGAAGAAATTCTAACTGGCCACCAAATCCAACTGTGGGGACCGTTTTGCACCTAATTCTCTGCTAGCGGGCATCACTGGGGAGTAGGAGGCTCGGCGAGGACTCAGGCTAGTGCCACGGGAAAGCGGGCCTCCCCAGGAATGGCCTCTCCTCCTCCCTCTGGGCAGTGTCTCTTTGTCTGGGTACAGAAACAACGGCAAGGGTCATGCTTTACTCACAACGACCGTGTGCATGGCTTACTTTTATTTTTTATTAAAAAAACACATACAAGAGTTTAAGAAATGATGAATATAAGACAAATCAGAGTCACGGTGAGTTATTAAACCCATTCTCTATGTACAAATACTAAAATTCCGAAAGTGGAACATCATCCAATGTGAGACACATCATAGCACTGTCGTATGTACACAGCAGAGCCGGCCACGCCCCAGGCTGCCCCGAGACAGGTGCGGACGGAGTCTGCGAGAGTTCCTGACAGCTACGCATTTCCAAGGAGCTTTAGCGATAGGAAGAAACTGCCTTTGATGAGCCTCTGCCAGTGGCACTCGTGTTCCACACTGGCCAAGGACGCACCAATCTTGGGAGAAGCTTTTGTGGCCAACTTCCACCTAACACAGTGGAGGACTCTGCTTTTCCCTCTGCAGCCAATCTGCTTTTCCCTAGTCACTCACTTGAGCAGAGCATCTAAAAACAGCTCAGGAAACAAATCATGTTCCTATATTGTTCAGTTCATTATAAAATGCCACTCAGTTTTTAAAAGCCATTAAAAGGACACTTTCTGCAGCAAAAAAGGGCTAAGTTCAAGTTTTCGTTCGACCCAGACACGGTAATAATCCACACGTCACATGATCACAACAGCCGGAGTGAAATGCAATGTTCAGACTAACGATTATGCGGCTGCTCACTTGGAGAGCGCCCGCACGCTGGTACCTCAAGTCGCCCTCCTTGGCAGCCCCTCTGTTCCGGAAGCGGCCAGCCCACTGGCGCCAGATGTGTCAAGGCACTTGTCTTGCTACAGCAGCATCACACTCATCCACGTTCCTCGGCCCGCAGGGAGCCAACTTCTTCCAGGCAGCTGGCGATGGCGGAGGGGATGCACTTGGGGGTCTCTCTCCGCCAGGCCTCCAGGGTCTTCAGCGTCTCCTCTGGGCTGCTGGGGCTCAAGTCACACAAAGCGTACACGGCCGCCAGCTGCACACCCCACGGGATGTCTGAAAGGGTTCCACATCAGTTACACACAGGAAGACCTGCTATGCAAGGTGGTAATGCTACGATGTACAGGGGTATAGGTCACACACAGAACACTTCTGTCAGCAATGAAAATTCAGTCCACAAGAAAAAAAATCCCACAATGAAAAACAGAATATTCAAGACCCTTCCACAATGGGAGAGGGGAAAAGCGGAAGTGCAGCTCTCTGAGCGCCTAGGGGCCGAGTCCAGGACCTGGCCTCGCTGGCCGAACCTCTGTGCCCCGGTGAGCCTCCAGGGAGCTGGACATGGGACAGGTGCAGTGTGAGCAGGGGTCTTGGAGATGGACTCCGGACAGGAAAGCCACAAGGAAATGAGACAAAGGGGCGTCCTATCCCCGTGCACACTTTAATATCCCAGATCCCAGTGTACGATTCTAGGCAGAACTGGTTGGTCGATTATACTATATTATCACAGTTCTCCTTTAGCAGATGTTCATTTAGGAGTTAATTAATTAAAATTTAGTTAAAATTTAATTTACTTGAATTTTGTTTAAATAACTTAGGCATTAAACTCCTTATTAGTCACATGTTTTGGTTTTCTGTGAGTGCTGCACTGCCCAACAAGGCAAACCTGTACTGATGCTAAATGTCCCCTGTCCAACACGCAGGGGACCAGAGCGCTTCAGGCATCTCTGGGGTTCTGGAATACTTGCATATACAGGAGGTATCCTGGGGATGGGACTCGGGCCTAAACACAATTCACACATACACTTTGTCCGCATAGCCGGAAAGCAATTTTACATATTTTTTAATAATTCTGTGCATGAAACAGTTTCATGGTATGAAAATTTCCACCTTTTGGGGTCATGTCAGTGGTCAAAAAAGTTCCGATTTTAGAGTACTTGAGACTGTAAACTTTTGTGGGTTATTTTTTTTTTTTTGGTACCGGGGATCGAACTCGGGACTTTGCGCTTGCTCAGCAGGCGCCAGAACCATCGAGCTAAATCCCCAGCCCAAGACTGTAAACTTTTGGAGTAGGGATGCTCCACCTGTATTTAAAATAAACACAACACAAAAACCCACACATTCCCAAGTCAGTGCTGAAAACATGAGCAGAACTGGCATGCTTAAACCACGTCCCCCAGAGCAAGGCAGCCTGTTAATAACACAGCCGCGCGTGTGTGCGGGGTTCAGGGCCGCTGCTCTGCAGTGAAGCAGCCTGGACACACAGGGTGGGGCAGGCCCTTCTGCACACTGCATCCCTGGGGTCACCTTTGCCCTGGGCTTCAGTGCAGGAAATGAGGATGGCACCATCCACCTCCAAGACCTGGCCTGGCATCCAGGCCACGCTGTGGGCAGGACACGGAGGGCCCCACTGCAGCAGCACCACGTAGCTCCTCCCCCCTCCTCCTCCTCCTCCTCCTCCTCCTCACAGGGTCCTGCGCACCCAGCAACACAGCAAGCCTGCGTGTGTGGGGCCGCTGCTCGCTCGTGTCAGTGCACTCTGGTTTAGACTGGAGAAGGCACCAACGGGCATCATCAAGGCAGTGACCCTCAAGTCTAAAAGGGACCAGAGAGAAGGGAGGCACCACCGGGCTGTTCTCTGTGAGCACAGCTCAGCAAGCCTCCCACTGCACGCTGAAGACAGAGCCCGACCAAGCTAGATCATCACAGGGCCACACAGTGCGTACGATGTCACTTCACACATTTCGGATGAGGAGTGCTTTAACTCCTCTGTTCCTTCTTGCACAACATTCAGAACAGAAACTGGGCTCATCACCCATGAGGGTTACTGTGAGTAACCCCGTCCCACAAGAGATCAGGACAGATACACACTGTGCAGTCCATCCAGGATGCCGAGACCCGCCTGCAGACGCCCAAGGCCCCCAGCCTCCAGGCTGCCTTGACCGACCTCAGCCTGCAGCTGCTGGGTGTCCCACCAGGCAGCTCTGCCCCTGTGACCTGGTCAGTCAGGACACAGGTCCAGCAGGAGGCTGCAGGGAGCTCAGCAGCCCACAGCCCAGAGACAGCATCAGGGGCCAAGGGCCAGCAGCAGGGCCAGCAGAGTGCCCTCCTCTTGAGAGAGCACTGACCAGCAGGCCAATGACCGCCTCATGGGTAAGCAGGCCACAGACACACAGACACACACACACACACACACACACACACACACCGTGTGCCCTGCGTACGAGCAGAAGAGAAACAGAAGCCAGCACACGGTAAAGATGAAAACAGAGGTGAGACAGTAAGTGCAAGGGCCAGAACAGCAGGGGTTACCTTCGTCCTGAGCATGCTGTACGAACACACCAATGACTGAACTGATATTCTTCACAGTAGTTGGAAATCCTTCCTTCAAACCCAACTGACCCAGGCGACCTAGAAGAAACAAAGGTAGTGTAAACAGTCTTTGGTGAAATGTTGATTTAACTTTCCATAAAAATTTTAAATTTGTGTTCTCGTTCTTATAACATTATGTACTTTAAACCTTAAAATCCTGAAATCAAAGTGGGTACCTATTAGTTGAAAGCAGGTTAAACAGTGAAGCATCAAGACTTAATAAAGCGGTTTGTCTTCTGGAAGTCATCAAAATGCTCATCAACTCTTCTTTTATTCACACAGACAACATGATGCACGGGTTTCTTGGCTAAGCTGCAATGTAGTAAGTGGAACTTACAGGAGGGGATGGTTCTGGCAGGTCAGATGTGAAATGCTTCTGACAGAGCAGGAGACAGCAAAGAAAGGCCGCTCCCATCAGATGCTCCTTGGAGACTGCTGTCACAGGGTGCCCTGGAGCTAGGGAGTCCCTGCCTCCCACAGTGCTCATATGAAGACGGGTGGAGGTGACAGCGGATCCAGCACTGTGCCTGCACAGTCACAGCAGTGGCATCTCCCCAGGTGAAGCCACACTGCTGGCACCAGCTGCCTACAGAGCCAGCTTAAGGACAGCCACCGGAGAACGGCTTGACGAAGCAGCCAGAACCACCTCCTGAGACCTGGCGGGGAGCATACAGGTCGGGGACATTTGACAGGTGCTACCATTTCCTACACACCTGTGCAACGCACATGGCCACCGTGAAGAAAAGCACACATTCATGTGTGTGAGCTGTGAGTGCCACATGCGTTAACAGCACACCTGACAACTTGGGTATGGGCAGCAAGGCGGAGATGCTCTCAGACATGAACAACGTGAACCTGTGACTTCGGGGAAGTTACCACTGTAGGGAAAGGTGACATTTGAGGTTTTAAGCAAAATTCAAATTTTCGGACAACGTCCACCAGCTGCCCAGAGCTTGACAACATAACAATACACATGACTTCTCTGAGAAGAGACACGGAGTGTCGGTTCTTTTACATTGCTGGTATTTAAAGATGCCTATGAACCATTTATTTCCAAGTGAACAATGCAGGTTACAAATTCATCAGTAAAATTTACTGGCCAAATGGATCCCTTCACTATGCAAGCCACACCAGTGGATTTTAATTAAACAATATGAAGAGCTCACTGATAAAGACTTAAGATTTCACACTGCAACTACTTCAAGAAATTATGGGCTGGGGATGTAGCTCAGTGGCACCGTGCCTGCCTGGCAAGCGCAAGGTCCTGAGTTCCATTCCCAGTACTAAAAAAAGAAAAAGAAAAAAAATTACTACTTTCACCTGGGCCACACAGCACTCATCTCAAAAAAAAAAATTATTACTCATTTTATTGTATATCAAAGAGAAAGATCCAGGACTATTTGAGAAGGCCATTAAAGTACTCTACCTAGCAGTGGTGCATGCCTATAATCTCGGCACTCTGGGGTGCTGAGACAGGAGGACTGCAAGGTAGAACCCAGCTTGGGTTATTCAGTGACTTAAGACTCTGACCCAAAATTAAAAACAAGAGTTGGCGATGTAGCTGAGCAAAGGCTTTGGGTTCAAGTCCTAGTACCACAATAAATATATAAATTTAAAAATCTTTTCCCTTTCACCACCTATGTATCTATATGAAATTTACTTCATATATTCAACCAAAGCAGCATACTGCAAAAGATTAAATGAAGAGCAGATAACGAAGAGACAGCTGTCTTCTGTAAAGCCAAAGGAAAAGAAGCCTGCAACAAGGCAATGCCGTCCCCATTAGCTTTTGCTTTGGGAATGCAGTTTCTTAAATGGAAAGCACCATTTATGCTACTGAGCCTACCACTGCTCACTGAGGTCCTTTCCTCTGCTCCAGCATCTCTCTCCTGCGGTGCCAAGCTGCTCCACAGTGGAAGTGTTCTGGAAATCTCGGAAAGAAATACATGGAGACACAGAATTCGGGTAAAATGATAAAAGTTCTACTTGCAAGCAGGCGGGACCACCAGAAACCAGTCTGGTTAGTATCCGCCTGCCCCTTTGTTCAGCATTTCCTCTTTATATCCTTTTTAGCCATTATCTCATCCCTAGTGGTCTCTGATGTGTAAATATAATTCCAGTTCCCATTTACAAGTCACAGACACAAGGTAAGTACATATACATTGTAAATCCACCCAGGGACTGCAACTTTGTTAGGTTAATGAAGTTACTGGTTAAAGAGTCAGATAACTGTCACCTTAAACAACAAGAGCTATGGGAAAAGTAAATCTTAAAGGAATACATTATTTATTTTGCTTCTACCACCTTAATATTCAATCTACTAAGTTATCTAAAACTTTTCCCTATCATTCCTCCCTCTGTTTACTTCAGGATAATTCTTCTATCCATTATAAGTTTTATCCAGTTTATCTACATTTCTTAACACTAGCATTTGGTAGTGTTGAGCTGCAGCAGTGCACTACTGTATAAATTTTGAAATCCATTGGATGACACAAGGACCAAACATTAATATTAATATTATAACAAGAAGAGGACTCAGAAGAGGTCCCATCCAAGTTTTCCATCCTGCCCAAGTGAAATTAATCCCATAGGATGGCTCTCCTATACCAAATTCCTCATCAAGAACCCTGATCTGACCTTTCAGTTTGTCTAGTGATTCCTGTACTACATCAGATTTATTAGTGTAATAACAACACTCTTCACCAAGAAATAAGCAAGTCCCTCCTTTCTGGGCTGTTAGCAAATCGAGAGCATGCCTATTCTGTAATACGACATTGGGCAGTGAATCTAGTTGGGTTTCTAAAGCCTGAAGTGCATCTCAAATTTCTTCAAGATCTTTTCTAATTTCTTGTCTTAAAGAAATATATTACTCCTTGTAGCCAAATAGGATCCCATGGGGCTGGCATATACATAGATATAGGATTACATTGACCTTGTTTACAATTTTAACAATTACCAGTGGCTTGTCCAACAAGGGAGCCGTTGATCCAAACTTGTGTTTTCTCTTTGCAATATAATTTCTCATTAGAATAGCCCCCACAGTCAGAAGCTACCCCAGGTCCCCCATAATGTTCTTTTGGGCAGGCATCAAAGAACATTGTAAACGGATAGCCTTCCAGTTCCCATTTTACTGTTTTAAAAGTCACATATTGTTCATCAAACTTTTCATTACTAGGCCTAAACACCCGCAGTTCGAAAACAAAGAAACTTAAAGCAGTGGTGATCTGGCACAACACAATAATCCATGTCGTCCTTGATGGTGCTTACATTCTTCAGCTGTGCGTTGACTCACCAGCCTCTGGAGTGGTGAGGGCAGGGCTTTGAGTGCATTGTCTTTCTCGGCTTTCAGCGTCAGCTTTATTGTTACCTTGTGCAATGAAGTCTTTGCCTTTCTGATGTCCTGAACAATGTATTACTGTGACTTTGCTAGGTTTCCACACTGTCTCTAGCAACTGTATAATTTCCTGTTTATTTTTAATTTGCTTCCCTTCTGCCGTGAGAAGACCTCGCTCTCAGTAAATCATGCCATGGATGTGCAATGTAGCAAATGCATAGCAAAAGTCCTTATATATATTTACCTTTTTACCCTTTGCCCATCAGAGTGCCTGTATGAGTGCCCAGAGCTGAGCACACTGTGCCAACTAGGAAGGGGCCCCAGCTAGGATCACCTCATCCTTCGTGGTTACCGCATATCCAGCGTGACGAACCTCATCTTCCACAAAGCTGCTCCCATCCGTGAACAGAACGAGGTCAGCATCAGACAAGGGTGTCATTTGTAGGTCAGGGTGGGTGGAAAAGAGCTCATCAGTGATACTCAAGTAGTCATGCTCCGGAGGGCCTGACTCCATGGGCAAGAAGGTAGCAGGATTTAAAGCTTTTACAGGAATAAACCGCAAGTGGGGGTTCTCACAGAGAAGGGCTTGGTACTGAGTAACCCAATTATTTGAGAGCCATCAATGCCCTCTTGTGTTCAAGTTTCAAGACCGTGTGTGGAACCTGCACAGTCAGCTCCTGACCTAGAGTTAGCTTGTCTGCTTCTTGGATTAATAAAACTGAGGGGCTGCCAAGGCCCGAAGGCAAGGAGGCCACCCTTTTGCTACTAAATCTAAATTCTTAGACAAATATGCCGCTGGTTGATTCCATGGGCTTACTTCTTGGGTCAACACTCCAAGAGCCACATGGCTTTTCTCAGTCACATACAGAGTAAAAGGCCGCTTCACATCTGATATGCCTAGGGTGGGGGCAGGTGCCAAAGTTAATTTTAGTTTCTTTCTATTTTTTTTTTTTTTTTGGTACCAGGGATCGAACTGAGGTCCTTGTGCTTGCGAGGCAGGTGGTGGAACCACTGAGCTACATCCCCAGCCCTCAATTTTAGTTTCTTAAAAGCTTTTTTTTGTTGTTCTATAGCTCAAAGTAAATGATTTTTTTTCTTTTAATTCCTGTTTTTTCTTTTCTTTGAGCTGTGGGCACTTATTCGTATAATGTCCTTTCTCTCTGCAATATGCACACTCGTCACAATCTAAGTACTCACGTTTAAAACCTTTCTTCTGCTTTCCCTCTGACTTCGTTCCCTGTCTTTCTCTCTCCCTCTCTTCCTTGGCTCCCATAGCCACTGCTATGTGTCTGGCTTTTCTCTTATCTCGCTCATCTTCCTTCCTTGCTGGTTTTCTCTCTCACTGATTCTCTGTTCACATACACTTTCCTAGCTCACTGCAACAGTTGCGTTATAATCATGCCTTCCCAAGTTTCTTGCTTCTGAATCTTTCCTCTAATGTTTGGAGCTGACTGAGTTACAAAGGTCGTATTGATTAACTGATGGTTATCAGGAACAGCTGGGTCAAACGGTCTGTACATTCTGTAGACCCTGCAGAGCCGCTCATAAAATTTCTCAGGGCTCTCACCAGGCTCCTGCTGTGTCTCTGACACTTTAATCATGTTTGTAGGTCTTTTCCTCATAGCCCGTATCCTTGCCAGAAGGGCCGTCTGATAATTTCTTAAGTTCTCCTGGCCTACTGAGGTACTGGGATTCCAATTGGGCT